CGGCCGGGGGCCACAGCGGCCCCGGCGGAGCCACAGCCGCCGGCAGAAGTTGGGGACAAACGTGCTGGGGCCGTGGCTGCAGCCGCGGGTTTCTTTGTGCGTCTGTCAGCACTTTGGGTGACATTCCCTCCGCCGCGCGGGTGGCTGGCGATTTTTCCCTTTTTTATTGCTGGAAGAGGTTGTTCCATACAAGAGGAAAAGAAGAGAGGCCTTTGTAATTTTCAAAGAGGTTTTTTAGAATATAGTGCCGAAAAAGCAATTTATTATTTTTTTTTTAATTGGTGAGTTTTTTAGCATTCAGGTGGTTGCTCTTTCTTTAATACAGATTTACGTTCCAAAGAGATACTTGATTTCTTTGACTGTATCTTTGATCATAGCTTATAACCACTACCTCTACACACCTGTGTTTGTAAGAATCTTTTAAGAGTCAGTAAGAAAAATTGTTTTCTTTAAAAGCCTTCCAAAACAAAAATTATAAAGGACAGAGGAAAATGTGATAACCTAGCAGCCAAGCCACACTTTCCTCTAATGTATGATCCAAATGTTTTGGACCAAATCCTTAGGAATATAATTGGTGTAGTGAACCTCACTGATTTATCTCAGCTGAAGACCTAATTCCAGTACATTGCATACTAAGAATATGTAAAAGATATTCCAGAGACACAAAACAACATGGTTGTGCATCTCAAGATAAACCAAACTAAGCTAGATGAAACCAAAATTAATTATTGTTCTGTAGTACAGTAATTACCTGTAGTGACTGCAAATTCTTAATTTCCCATGCACACAGACAGGTTCTTAGCTAGAAACTGTATGTGATGCTTTACAATTGAAATAAGTACTTTCTTGTTGGATTTTTTAAAAATTATTTTTAATTTTTAATTTTTTTTAAATTTTATTTTTGTGATAGATGTGCAGTCACTCTAGGATATGCGAACAAATCTTTAAGAAGTGAAATTAATTCTGCTTTATTATTGCATATCCTGTAAAGGCTTTTAGTGACTTTGCTGCTTCAAGTGGCTTTAAAATGAGAAGTTTAATACTCACATTTTTAAAGTTTTATTTCTGTGGTGTTTTGCTTGCCTGGTCAGATTTATCCAGTACAGCATGGCGATCTGGCAGTATTACAGGTAGTGGCTTATCAGTTATTTTAATAGGAGGTTTCCTAAATCCACTCTGGAATGAGATGTGCTTTAGGGAAAGGAGCTGGCTCCCCACACTCCAAACCAATCACCCTGCTGACTTCCTTCCCTGGTTTTCTTCAGTAATTTCTCTAATGTGTCCAACCACTTTACTACAAAATAAATATTCAGAGATAAGGAGGGAGAGGGGGGAGAAGGGAGGAAAAAATAGGCCTCCCAGTGAGCTATTGATTTGAAATTTGAAACATTTTATTGATAGAAGAAAAACCCAGACATAAGGAAGCAGTTTGATACTGCACAATATTTGAAAAAAAATTGTGTGCATCTGTTTAGCACAATACACTGCATAATGACAGCAATCTTCCCTGTTTGTATCTATTCATCTGATTATACAGCGTAACAATTCTTTTTGCTACACATTTATTTACTAAAGGATTTTTTTTAATGGATAATAAATTAGTAAATCAGATATCATGTGCTTGGGAAAATATGATAGTTGACTCCCTACATGCAAGATAGTTGCAATTCATATTTTATGTGATATTCAGCGATACTCACTTATACAGATGAAGTTATGTGCTTCTCTTGTGGCAAAGACAAAGGAAGTTTTAAATCACTATTTAGTACTCTTTCATCTAGGCACATGTTATTTTGAAACGCTTCAGTTTTTAACACCGCAGTGCAGCACTGATGTAATGAAGAGCTTTGACTTTCTTGAAGTATAACCCAGTGGCCTTCTTTTGATGCCTTTTCCACAGCTATTTCTGCTGCAGCTTCCTGTCCTTGACCCAGCCATGCATTGTGAAGTTCTCCTGAGTCAATGGTAAATTCAAACTTGTTCCCTAAACAGAACAATATACTGTACTACTTCGAGCCAAATAATAAAGTGTTCAAACAGGCATGTTCTACACACACTGTTAAAATGGCACCACATCACATGAGTCACCAAAGGGAAAAAACAGCCCTCAAAAATGCAGTTTCAATAAATCAGCTGAGCTTGGGTATTGTGCTACTTTCTGGCTAGGTATTCTGTATTAGCAAAACGCTTCTGTCTCTGAAAAGCATCCCAGAGTGAAACAGTTGATTTCTGCTCATGCCTTCCCTACATATTGCCTATATGAACATTTCAATGCACACTGAAGTGGATGTGTTAGAAATTTATCTAAAGAAAAAAAAGAAATCGAGTTAATGTCTCCCTGAAGGTGACATTACACACAGGCCATGAAGGGGGCTTAACAGAAGTCCTTATGCTGGCATTAGGAAGTTGTTGGGTCAGAGGAAGGTTAGCAAATTTTCAGTAATCTGTTGCTTCAGTATACTTGTGCAAGGTTGATGACTTGTGCAAATACAGAAGAGCAAGCAGCTACCTCTGATTTCAGAAAGCAGCGAGTGTTCCCCAGGCAGTTGCCTGAGCCAAGCACTGAAACTTCCCTCAGACACTGAGTGTTGGAGGTGTAATGCCATCGGTGTGTTAACATCTAACAGCACTCCGCGGACAGGAAAAGGCCTGGTGTATTTCTCTGGTGTGGTAGAATTTCTAGGACCGGTGGTATTGCTAACTAACTTGTAGAAAGTTGTTTTATTTCATGGTAAGTGTTCTGTTTTCTCATCATTGTTAGTAATAGCCTCTAGTCCAGACTGATCTAATGGTTCAGAGTCGATAAGGGGACCAGCCCAGGAGATAAACAGTGTTGGGGAACAGCACTGCCTTCTTTGGAAGTTTTTACACATTTAGTTCCAAGTTATATTTGGGCTAAGTTCCCATAAATTAAGAATTACAGTTGACAGAACCTTGTGAAAAACAACAATTAAGGTGTAAGACCAGTCTCTGGGGTGTAGTATTTTATCATGACTTTTGTTTGGTAGAGATCCAAATGCAACACATGTTAGGGTCACTCACAGTACAAAATCTGTCCTTTAAAGGGCTGAGACTGGTAATACAAACTGACAGCACAAGTCATCCTGATCTTTCTGCTGCCAAACAAAGGAGAGAACTTTTCACTTTTCATGCCTTTAGAAATTTTTTCTTTCTGGACATTTCAAATCCATTTCTTTTGCTTGTTCTATCCAGGAACCTTCAGTATCTCTCTTCAAGTAACATAATTTATTTAACATTGTCCACAATTTAAAAAAATACTATGTAGAGACTGTACATTTGAGCACAAGCATGTGGATTTTAAAAATCAATGGAACTGAAGTTTTTATTTTAAAAAATAAATATAAAAGAAATTAAAAAATATAGAAATGTAGGGTCATTATTGTAGACACACTTTACCCTGATTTCTCTTCATGGAGAGTTAAAGAGAAAGTCAAGCAAATGTTGAAACAGTGATCTGTGTAAGTTCAGAATGTTCACAAAGCAGGAGTTTGTTTTTCAGTAACTAAAAGCTTTAGAACGGAACAGCTGTGAAATTAATAGAAATTATTTGTAATATTTGTCAGTGTTTATTTTCTCAAAAGCTTTGAGGTTTATTTGTGGCAAATTTCCTCATTTAAAACATTTAAAAATCATTTAAAACTATGTGATACAGCTTCTGGATATTGTAAGCTTAAATCATACACATATAGTGACATTCCTTAGAGCATATGAATATGTTCACAGCTGATTCAATGTGGCAGTTTATAAGACCAGCTAAGCCTTCACCAAAGTATGGACAAAATTCTAAACATAAAGCTTTTCTGAAATTTCTACCTTAACAAATTAAAACAAACTTGTGTGTCTTTTGTGTGTAAGCCTTTTCGTATATCAACAAGGCTAGAAACACTGAATTGTGCTGAGGAACAGTATTAATATAACATTCCAAGGTCAGTTGAACTCAGATTTCTCTAGAATAGGAATAGTTTCTATTAAGAAATTGCCAGATCAAAACTATATGGTGAAATGCTTAAAATTTTAAAAGTCTGTAAGAACCAGATCTAAGTTTTCCACTGTTGTAAAAACAACAAGAGAGCTCCACACCACTATTTATTGTGTTGTACAGGGATGTGCTGGGTTCTGTTACTTGGTATTTAATTCAGAGGTGCATTCAGCTATGTATTAGTAGTGAGCACTGAGCCATTAGAGCAGCAAAAGCTAGGACAGAAATAAACTGTTGGCTGCAATTGCCCCTTTGAAAAAGAACAGGAATTTTGAGAAGGGAGAGAAGGAGATTCCTTGGCCTCAGTGGAGTTTATTATTCTCTGGAAACAGGTAAACCAACCCTGGCTCAGGAAGATACTTCAGAATAGGAAATGTTTTGCCTTTGAAATGTACCAGATTACATGTCATTTCAAATAGTGTTCATGGCAAAGATACCCCTGGGACCACCTTACAAGAGCTTTATTTCTTGCCTGCAAATTAGTCAATTCAAAACACTTCTCCTCTCATCTCTGCCTTCAGCTCTTAATACCACACACGCCATTCGTAAAATAGCGGAGAAGAATGAAAAGAACCTGAATACAATGGTACAATTAAGAAAATAAAACAAAAGACTGTAAAAGCAAGAACAAGATGGGTTTCAGCAGACAAGGGAAAGAATGAAATTTTGGTGCATTTTTGGAGGCATTTCAATAAACCCTTTTTCTTCCGTTTCAGCAGGGGCTCATTGAAACAGCTACGTTTTCCAAGTGCAGGCAGACAGCCAATAGCATCTAAATTATTTTTAAGAAAGCACTTATAGCACTAAGCACTCACTACTACTAAATCCCATCTTAGAGGAGAAGGGTGGAGTAAGAAGAAAGGTCAACAAATGTACCAAGTTCTTTGTGTAATGCCTCACTGACATTTTCCAACTCCCTCAGCTGGCTTTTATTTTTTTATTTTTTATTTTTCAGAATCCTGGTAAAATGCAGTAAAGGATTTAAGGTTATCGTCTGTCTCTCTCTAACTTCTGACATCTCTTTATAACAAGAAAGAGTCACAGCCAACTGTAACAGGAGGGCAACACAATGAATCCTGGTAAGACAGGGAAGGGGGGAGGTTCAACTTTGCTGCCCCTTTGCCCCTGTTTCTTCCTCACAGAACAGAAGTGCCATCTGTTACTAGTCCTAACATGCATGCATTTGATTTCCATTCAGTAATAACTATCACAGGAAAAAGATTATCAAGTGATCTAAAGCACTATCAGCATTAGCAGATCTTCCCATCCAGTGTTTTGTTTGCACCTCCAAAGATCTAGCAGATGAAATGGGTATGGGCAAGTGTCTTAATTGCCAAGAATTATTTTGTTTTCTAGTAGAGGACCACATGGTCCAGGTGTGGATTATGACCAGACTGAGGATATTTCAGTTCTTAGGTCAGAAAAAGATTTAGGGAAATCAGACAAGAGGACTGATGTTTATATTCTCCAATCCAAATTCACTACAGTCTTTATTACTTGGTGTTGTAATACATCATCATAATAATGGAAAATCAAATCATTGCATATTTTGTGAGGGTAGACAGTATTAAAGTATAAGCCTGTTCTAAAGCAATCTGTAAAAATGTTTCTTAGGCTTCATTCAAATTTGTTACATTCACAAGTAAAAATCCCAGCACAACCAAACACCTTCCAGCTCAGAAAACTCATTTTAAGATTGTTCTAGTTTTGACTGGGGTAGATTTTCTGGGTTAATTTTCTTCATAGCAGCTGGTATGGGGCTGTGTTCTGGAAACAGTGTTGATAATTCAGAGATCTTTTAATTATTGCTGAGCACTGCTCACACAGAGTCAAGGCCTTTTCTGCTCCTCACGCTGTTCCACCAGTGACGAGGCTGAGGGTGCACAAAAAGTTGAGAAGACAACAGCTGGGGCAGTTGACCCCAAGTGACCAGAGGGATTTTCCCTGCCATATGGCATCATGCTGTCTGTATAAACTAGAGGTGGAAGTTGGCTGGGGACTGTGGCTTGAAGACTGACTGGGCATTGGTTTGGCGATGGTGATAAATTGTTTTTCATTGGAATCACTTTTTCTTGGGTATAATTTCTCTCTGTTTTTGGTATTATTATGGATTCCTCAGCTATGCCCAGTTTTGGCTGGTGTCTTATTGTTGAAAGAAATGGAGTACAGCAGCAGATATCACCAAAGGAAGGGTGCCTACAGTGTGCTGTTTGTAAACCAGGGTAATGATCAAACAATTGATGCAGTGGGATTTCTCTGTCAGAGCACTTCGCGTGTTTTGCTGCTCTTTCCTCTTGCTGTCTATACACAATCGTTTTAGCAGTCTCTCACTTCTCCAGCTTCACATCTTTTGCCCCTCTGCTCTTGCTGCCTATACACCTTGTTACTTAAAACACTTCTATGACCAGAAATTGACCACCCTGTGAGATGCCAGCTTTCTTCCCAAAGGCTGGGGAATGACCTGAAATGTGGGAGACCTGGTCAGTGCTGTTATAGTGTAAATAAACTTGTGAAATGTTTTAAGAGGAAAAAGCTGAGAAAATTACTAGCAAGTAGCTTGTGCTTTAGACTAGCTTAATTTGCTCAAGTCAAATCTGAAGCTGATCTGTCTGGCAAACCTACTGATGCCTACATTGTCAAAATACATGAGACAACATTTCATTTCTCCAAATTTCCATTAATTTCATTGCCTTATTTTCTTTCTTTTCCTCCTACACCAGGATGACATTTTTGAAGTGTACTTTTAAGAGCATAATTTGATCAAATGATCCAAGGGAACTCCCTATAGATATCCATGATTTAATGCTAGATTTGTTCTAAAGGTTAGCATGCCTGACAATGAAAATTGGTCTAACCCCAGTTAATTTTAAATAATTAACAGAGTGTGTTTTTACTGAGCAGAACTGTATCTTGCTTACACAGCTCAAAGGGAAATGTATCCAACAAAGGCAGGGCCCTGCCGTGTGTGGTGGTGAGCATTCTGAGCATCCCAACCCCGACTAGAGCAGTCTTTGTCACCTTGCTGAAGTCAGTCATTGCATGTGTCCTCGTGCAAGATGCTTGTAGCTGACTTCCAGATAACTTTGAGGATACTGGCAAGAATTCACTGGCTGGCTGATTTATGTTTCAGTATAGTAGATATTCTGTGCTCTGAAAACAAGTAGGGTCAGCATCTGAATCTGAATTTCTTTGTCTTCCTTTTCTCTTCTCCATTTGGAATTTTATTTTGTAGCTCAGAACACATGCATTAGGAGCCAAAGAAATCTCTTTTATCAGGTTAGTATTTTCAACCTAATCCTGGTTCATATCCCTGTAGGCTTTGGGCTCCTCTGCTCTGTTCCCACTTGTCACTCTTCAAAGTGAGGAAGGAAACTCTGGGTATTGGCGCAGAACTTAGAAGAGATCTGTGCCGAATAAGAGCAAGAACGCAGCTGCACAAGACTCAGCATACTTCTCACAGACAAAATGCAGTGAAGGAAAAGATGACACTTTAAGCTAAATGAGAGATCATTATACAACACTGTTTCCATTCTGCTCCTTCTAGGAGGAATATATACATGCGGCAGCAGCACTCAGGACATGAAGAGCTACTTTGAAAGTTGATGCATTTCCCAGTGTCTGAGATGAAGATGGAAAGTAGAGAATGAGAAAATTTGCTGTCCCTGCAGAGGTACCCCCCCAACCACAATAACGTTTCTGAAGCTGTCATGCTTTTCTATCCTTAACAAGAAAGCAGCTTGGACTGGTTCAGAGTGAGTGCAGTTTGTAGGAGGCATCTCAGACTGATCTTCCCTGAAGAGGGAGTTTTCCAGGGCCTGGTAGAAGCAGCTGGCAGCATGAACAGCTCAAGCTACAGCAAGGAGGCCCAAGCAGAACTACACAAACTTGTCCATATTCCCTTGTACTGTGCTGAATTGGGAAGGCATGCAAGGGAGACCTGAAAACCTTAAGGCAAAGGACTGCTCTGTGGGCTGCTTGGTCACACATACAGGTGTACATACACAGGATGATAAATGGGAGCTCGTGCAGGGTTTGTGCTGTGTGGGAGAGCTAACTGGGCTGTGAAAGTAAGCTTTACCCTTTCAAACAGACCAAGGTAAATGACAGCTGAGGGTGTTACACAGGCAGTTGGGTTCTTTACACTCATGTTCTTAGAGGGTTTTGCTCACTGCACTGCCTTGTGAAATACAGCAGTAAAAGCCTGTGACCAGAGGGAAAGTGGTAAGCCAGTGGTAGCACTAGATTAAAACAGCAGCACGCAAACATACTGACCTCTTCCTGAGTGGTAACCTCAAGTGAGAGCTAATTCACTGGATTGATTTTATTCTGCTTGTCCATGAGAAAATAGAGCACAGCAGCATTGACTGCAACTGGCCACAAGTGCTTGTGAGCTTCAGTGATTTTTATAGTGGTTATTTGAGTTTCCAGGTTCTTAAAGACGTTGGTGATGTTATGTACTATTACACTCAAAGTCTTCTGTTTGGCAAAAATGTACTGGCAAAAGGCAAAAGAATATAAATTAATCTAAGAATTTATTGTTACTCCAATTCATGTTTTAAACAATCTAATAGTCAAAATTACTTAATAAGTATAGGAGGACTTCATTAAAAATAGAGTTAAAATTTCTGCACTAAAATTCTCCTTTCTCTGGTGTTGCACTTACTCCCCCAGATTTCCTTTGGGTCTTAAGATTGGTATTCCTCAAAAGGAATGGGAGAGTATTATGATGGGTTTTCACCAGGATTTGTGTTATACTCACGGGAGAGGGATGTCTTTCTTCTTAGCCTGGTGTCTGCTTGGATTTAGGTTTATATGTTTTCTTAACACTATCATCTAACTATGATTAAATGGCTGATTTGTGTCAAATGTGTCTGCACTCTTCCCCACAGCTGACTCTAGAATTGGAGGCAGTTCAGTTCACAATGAGTAACCATTTGTTATTACCCTAAACTAAACTAAAACAAATCTAGTCAAGAGTGCCTCACAGCTGAACAACTGCTATCACAGCTAAACAAATTAAAATCTATCTAGGCCCAGAAAAACCCAGAGCATTGCCAAGTCCCTACACTGTCACCTCGATACAAGCCCTGTTGCTTTTTGCTAATAATGGCAAAATCACATTTATTGGGCTATAAAGTCACTTTGAATAGTCTGTGAAGTGCAGAGCAAGGATTTGCAAACCCTGCTATGACTGGAAAGTCATGACTGAGCAACAGATCTTGGAAACATTCACACTTTCCTGACTTCTCTTGAATTAGAGTAATTCAAAGTCTGATTGACTTGTATTTCTTCATTGCCATCAGGAGGCCAGCTAACAAAAGTATTTGATTTTCATTGCCAATATAATTTGCCCAATCAGCAGGAATACTGTGGTTATTAAACTGAGAGCTATAGTTTGTAGTGCTAAGTTAAAAATCTGATAAAGGTATAGGATAATTAAGAAACATACTTGAATCTAAGATACAGACACTCAGACAGGCACTAGCAGGCAGGTTTTTACATGAGGTAGTTCATGGAGTTTGGTCTCTACACAAACACAACTAAATCTCATATATATGATTTGAGATTGATTAGAAACAGAATGAGAGACATCATAGTCACACCTGTTTAACTTTTGAGCTAAGTAATCATCTGAAGACTGGAAACTAATATCTTCACATCTCCATTAAATATTTCAATGCTATTTGTCAGCATTCTTCTGAAAAGACTCACTGACTATTCCATTTTCTTTGGCAGACTGTGTTCACAGATGCACATCTTTAATAACAGAAGCACTTGTTATACATTTCCAAAATTATCTGATCAGCTTCCTACAAGCAAGAACTTTTTCATCAACTTGTGTATTCCATCAACTATGTATTTTACATATATGCAGTTTTCACCATGTACAAAATTCAAGATGCTTTAAAATACCTCCCATACAATTGTACATAAATGGTACATTTATTTTTAAAATGTGATTTTTCAATGGCAAAAAAAAAAACCCTGTTGATCCATCTTTTCTTTTGTGTTTTAAAAAAAACTCAGAGTTCCAACTATACTTGTAAATATATATATATATATAAACATTACAAGTGTAGATATTAATATCTAGTTGATCTGTTAAATGTGATTACTCTTCAGAAGAGGATATACAGACCTCATCATCTGGAGATGAAGGAGTCACAATCTTTCAGGGATCCTCTGCCAATGTTTCACCACCCTCGTGGTAAATGATTTTTCCTAATCTCTGGTCAGAATTTCTCTTGGTCTGACTTCTGCAGGTTGCTTCTTTCCTGTCCTGTACATCTAAGAAAAATCTGTCTCTGTCTTCTTTGTAGTCTCCTGTGAAGTGTTTCCAGACAGCAGTAGATCCCCCTGCCCTCTTGGCCTTTTCAAGGCTGAAGAACCACAGTGCCCTCAGCCTCTCCTCACACGTTTCCTGCTATAGCCTCCACTGGATTAGGTTAATGTCTTTCTTGTACTTTAGGAGATGCAGCAACTAAATTTAAATTTTTCATTTACAGCATCTATTTTTTGTTCATACACTTACTGGTAGTGTAACACCCTCAACATCTTCTATAGCTGTACTTGCATTTTGGGTTTTGTCCTGATTAGTTTAGTTGGATGTGCTTCTACTTCAGCTGTCAATTTTGTTCTCTGAAGTCCAAATTTCTCCTTGCACTGCCAGTTCTTCAGTTGCCTCCCTTGCCACTAACTGGACAACCTATATTGCAGCATGTTACAGGCTTTCCAAGTGAAACCCCCTTCCCCCCTTATTTCTTTCTTTTTTTCTCCTCTTTTCTATTTGCAGAATCTTGTTCTACTTGCTGGATATATCTGCAAGAAGCTGGAACCCAAGGGTATGGTTCCTTCTGAAGAGGTGGTTAACGCACTGCCTGCGGACCAGCAAAGTTCAGGACAGAGAATACCTAGAGGAGAGGATCCAGGATTTTAAAATTACAGGAGGAGGAAAGATCCTCTGAGTCTGACTGTAAAATTTCTGACAGCACTTGGCTCTTCTGTGCTGCTATAGGGAGTGCTTCTGAATTTCATCTGCAAGGCACTGAGAACAGAGGGTACTCGGGACTTAGCAGAAATTATTCTCCCTTTTGAAGGATCAAGCTCTTGGAGAGCACCCACTGTTAGGCATATGACCTCTTCAGGTACTTAAAATTACTTAATTAGCATTATAGACATTAGAAAGAACAAGATCATTCTAGCAAAGGTAATAGAGCTGTAATTGCAGGTGTTACAAAATTTAGTACAAAAGATTGGTGTTCCCAATATTTGTTTTAAAGTGTTTTAAAAGGCTCTATAAAGAAGGGAATCAAGCAAACTATCAGGTAGGATTTTTTTCCCCCTCCATGTTTTTGTGAACTAAGACTAGAGGGAACACATAGCATCTTGCTATTAAATTCACCCATGACAAATAGTACAGCTGCATGTAGTGTGCAAGAACATTTGTAGAATCATGACACATGCAGAATTCCCCCACACTGAGAGCATGACACTATACTGAAAACAATTCAGTTGTAGAAGCAATATAAATGTATTTTATATAATCTTTCTTCACCTTCTCCTCCCCCTTATCTTTTGAATCGTGTTAACCATAGGATTTTGTCACTTTTTCCCAGCATCAGTAAAGAAGTGTAAAAGTGACTAAGCATTTCAGAATTATGCTCTTCTTTCATTAGCAGCTAAGATGCAGACATTTCTTATCTGAAGAAACAAAAAAAACCCCCAAGAAACCAGTGACAGAAATGTACTACACAGACACCAAAGCTTAGTCCAAATGGAACTTGACATGCTTTGCCAATGCAATTTAACTCTTGAGAAATCAAAGGGTGATTTTCTGTGTCAGCATCTTGGTTGTTCAGTTCAAAGTGAGCAGTCAGATTGCTGCCAGTCTTTACTTCACCCATGTAAATGATGGCACAAAGTACTGTGATACATGATATCACAAACTATTATGGAAAACTATGTATAGATTTCCAAAGTAAGGGGAATCTCCTTGCCTGGGGTTTTGTGAGTTCCCACAATTTATCACTCAAATGCAGCTATGGTAAAACTTGGTAGATTACCCTTTAAGCTCCACACAATCATAAAAGACTGTGTCTTTTTCAAAATCCTTGAAGACTTTTCCCAAAAATTATTTTAAAAAATATTTGCTTCCTCCTTCTAAATATTCTATTGTTTGCTCTCTGAAATAGTTTCTCTGCAATCTTTAGAATTTAGAAGTAAGAAATTTTATAATTGCAATGCAAACACTGATTTTTGTAACGTCTTAGGTTGTCTAAATTTAGACTATGTGATGACAATACCATGACCAGGCAAACACATGCATGTTGTGAACACCTGGATCATCATTGCCTTGTTTCTTTGAAACATCTTACTTTCAGTCATCAGGACCGCTCAGGACTGATAACTATGTGAAGCTCCAAGATAATTTCCAAATTTTTTATGCAGACTGCAAGGCAAGCATGGAGCTCCAAGGGCCAGCTGTCTTGCTCATATTTTTCAACTCCTTGCCTATTAAATTCCTGCATCCCAACTGCAAAAACACTACCCATATGACATATTCCCGTAAGGATTTTATTGTTTGGATTCATTTTTAGTTTATTTGCTGATACTCTTTGGACAAGTCCTTTGAACTCTTGCTTCATGCATCACCTGAAAAAACCTTGTTTTCCTGTTTCAGAGAAACATATTGTACTTATGTACAATGAGAAGGGGTTTGAAGCACTCTGATGACTGGAAGGATATGCAAGTACAACTGATATCCCCTGATGACATTTGCTTACTTGTAAGGGAATATTTATCTCTTAATTAGATATATTATTCTCTTATTAGATATATTAGATATTATTTCTTATTTAATAATACAATGACTTTCAACATCTACTTCTTGCTTTGTGTGTCCAGTAACTGCTTGCACAAGATTCAGTTATGTGCATCAGCAGAGCAGAAAGGAACAGCATACATCCTGCAGAGCTGGAAAATGCCTTCGTTGACTTTTCAGTATCCACAGCTTTGACATGGAGAGGTGCACATCCAGTGGCCAGATGTAACTGCAGTCAGCTGTGGCCACTCCAAGCTGGAAATGAGTGTCTGAGCATCCTGATCACTAATCCTTCCACTGCAGTGCCTGTGTTCTGGCTGCTCTCTTGGGTGAGTGCTTCGGCAGCTCCTTGTAGTCCTGGGCTCCAGTTAATAGCATAAACGGTGGCACAGTTTTTACCAAGTTAGCACCATAAGGAGTTGTGGAAAAAGGTACCCACGAAAGCTTCATTTATATGATATGTAAAGTGGAGCACTAGGATTGCTCTCTTGCAGACTTTAAATAAATTAAAGAGTCTTGTGGTAATATAAAAAGTTTTATTTTATTTTCCTCATGATGGAGACACAGTGAATTTTGGAGGGAAAACACATACACATGGATACATTCACCATGGATAATTGAATTGAAAAATAAAGATCATGAAATAGATACAGTTAGTTTGGTTTAGACCCAAAGGAGCCAAATTCAGCATCAAAATGATTAATACTGTAGCTGATCTAATTCTTTTAGTTGTTTTTCTTTGTTTGCATTTTTGCTGCTGTCTTGTTTACAGCTTCTCAGCCAGAAAAATATCCCAAAGCAAATTACTGTCAGAAGCCAAAAAAAAGTATCCATAATTCATCCTAAAGCACTGTCAACTTAATTTTAAAGTAATTTTTCTGCTTTATGAATTCAGGCTGAAGTGGTAAGTTTGCAAATCCATAAATCAAACCATAGAAAATAAAGGAAATACGTACCTCTGTTTAAAATATTCTGTTTTCCTACTTAATTGTAAGTATAGTTTTTATTAATTAAAACTTCAGTAACTAGGAAGAGAAGAAACAAAATTATGAACTGTATTCTGTATAACTGTACATATCTGTATTGTGACTCCAGAGCCATCTCCTGGGCCATAGAGAAGTTTTTCAAAGTTTCTAATAGTAGAAATTAATTTAGATTGTGTATGCCTCTGAGCACTCTGAAGACCGTATGTGTACGTTTGTGAATTCAGCTGAGCATGCTGAGGCCTGTGAAAGGCACACTGGGCTGTGAGGTCTCCTGCATTTGCAAGTGCTCTTCTGGGGCCCTGTGCAGTTGTGCAGACACGAAATGTCCTCAGTTTCCCAAATGTTTCCAAACTGACCTCACACACCTTGAGTCACAGTGAAACTGATTCAAGTTCTTTAGCTGTAAGAGATACATTAGAGAGCAAGTGTGGAAGCCTTCCATGGAGAATCACTGAAAATCTGGTGAAACCTGTGTCCCTGAGTGCAGGAACAGCAGCCTGGCACCAAGTGTGAGCATGGCCTTGTTTGTGCTCTTCTGCACACTGGAGGAAATCGTGCAGAATGCCTTGTGCCAGGGCTCAGTTTATCGCCACAGAAGGAGCAGAGCTCCAGTGTATGTTCTGGCTCAGAACTGCCGCCAGCAGCTACTGAATAGCAGCCACGTTCTGAATCTCAACACTCCATGAAAATCCTTCTTTAATCAAATGCTCCCGGGGGAGCAAGAAATTCAAGATGCACTTCCAGCCTGGGCTGGTGCACACCACTAGGTCAATACTTGGCATAAAGAGCTTTCTGCTTGTCGGTGCAGCGTGGGGGTCGGGGCACACTCATAGCAAGCAAGACCAACAGACAGCACACGAGGTAACATGACAATGTGAGGGCAGTAAGAAAGAAGAGGCAAAGGTACAGGAGTGAGTGGGGCACTGTGGTGGCTGGATTAGAAAGCATTTTGCTTCTCAGCTTGAACTGTTTAATTAAGGAATTTCACAGTAATTTTGACTAAACTTAATGAGTAACAAATTCAGTGCTCTGGCTGACTAAATTTTTTCTTCCAGTCTAAATAAGCTGCAGAGCTCAGAGCTGGCGGAATTCAGTGCCTTAACAGCACTTTCTCTCCAGCCTGTGCTGTAGGTAAGTGCTGTCCTGTGGCAACCTTTTTGGGGTCAAGTGATTTAGAGAGCTTAGACAAGTCTGAGGTTCAGGATCCCTATATTCAGACACAATCCTGAGTAGCAGATGCTGTGAGGAAATATTTTCTGACATTTACTAGAGGGGCAGGGGAGGGAAGGGAGGACTCAGCTCTAGGAGAGATAGTAGGTACAGCTAAACTAGAAGGAGGGGAAGGGCTCAGGAATATAATGAGGAGGTGGGGGAAATGACACTGGAATGAAAGGGTGAGTATATGAGATACACACTCATCCTGGCCTTCCTCTGTTCAAAGCACTCCCTCCAAGGGTGGGTATAAGACTTGAATAGGGGGGATGGATGTCAAAATATTTCCATAAGGAATATAGTGCAATAAATCAGAGAAAAAGGGCAGAATGGAGGCAAGGAGCAAATGGTAGGAGAATTATTTTAGTTCTAAGTGAATGATTATGTCTCCTGAGTGATTACACATCAGGATGGTGGTGTGTTGGGGAAGACTGTTCAGCTGGATAGGAAGGAGTGCTCAAATTGCAGTCATTGAACTGTAGTTCATGCAAGGGTGCAAATAAGATAAGAAAAATAGACAAGCAGAAATCCAGCTGGAGTCAAGGCATCTTGGGCACTGCAATCCTTGTGAGTTAATATAACTATCATACAGGTATAGGAAAAGTTTTCAGAGGAAGCTACTTTGAATACTTGTAGAACATAATCAGAGAGAAAGCTGAAGAAGAAAATAACAGACTATTACAATACTCTGCACATAACTTGCAAGCACTGGGTTAAGCACAAGATCAGTAATTTCTTCCAAGTTTCTGCCAGAACAGGACAACCAGCAAGAAAGACCTTCAGTGTGACACACACCTATAGAGTTATCCCAGTAGGGAACTGGCCAAAGCTAAGAGATACGATGCCAATGTACGCTATCCCATTTGTTACACTGTGATGAATGGAAAGCTGGAACGGGCTTGAGCAGTGCTGTTATGGTTGCTGGGGCATTAACAGCTTGGGCAATAAGTATCAGGCATTTAGAAGAAAGAGAGTTTCCATGTTTCCTTCATAGCTCTGCATCGGTTTTACTCTCACTAGCACTTGTCCCTTTTTGATTCAAATAGATAATTTATATATTGAAACAGATGTGACTTTTATCCAGTTTTTCCCCCACTGCTGAAGTTTGATCTTATGCCAATGATGACTGTAAATGTAAGACCAGGGACTTTTTATGTGGCCATATTAATATTATTGCCAGGCACTGCTGTCACTTTTCTATTTAGCAATTGTAGCATCCATCCACTCAGTGACTGGATCAAGACTCTTTGCTCCCTGGAATAGGGACCTGGAATAATAAAGGTTAAGTTTTAAATTTCTGCTTACAGAAGCTAGTATATCTCAGAATTCACTCACTTGTTGGTTTTTTTTTGTAAAAAGAAGCAGCATTTATGAGAAAAATTAATTTGTCCTAACTTCACCCAAAATTCAAGGGATAAAAAAGTATGAGGATTCCTGCACTGAATGCAACAATCCTTCTTTGGCCTCCAAGAGGTTATTGGGAGCTCAGTATTGGGGAAGTTTTGAACTCATCTTTGCTCCACGTGGAGCAAAGTCAGCAGCTGCTACGTGAACCATTGCCAGTTATTCTTTCAGATGTTTGAAATTACAGTTATATTGCTTTATTTAAATGCTTGTATTTATTTATATGCTAATTTATATACAGTTATATTTGCTTTATTTATATGCTTGTACATTATCTCCAGGTGTTTTATGAGAACATGGAGCTGCATGTCACAGTACCATTTTTCTGTGGGTTAAAGGAGACTGTTCTAACACTCCCAGCTTCTGCTGCCCAGGTACCTTCTGCTGAAGAAATTCTTTGTTACCTTGGACAGTCAGTCACACAGTGCTGGTTGGATTATGTGCCTCCTGTTACATCCACAAGTATATGGGAATAAAGCAAGGAAAGGAGAATAACAAAGCTTTAGTGGTTTGCTGTCCCTGACGATGTACTAAATTGGCAGAAACTGTAAAAGCCTGAGTTATTTTCCTCAGCAGTCCAGCATTCAGGGAGACCCAGAGCATAGGGACAGTTGCTGCCACTGCACGCCATTCCCCCCATCCCCAGACAGGCTTTCTGGCCAAAGTTAATGATTCATAAGATTCTGCACTGATTTCACTGTGAGCTTCCACATTTGCATAAGTAAAAGCTTCTGCAGCTTCTGTAGGGAGATTCTTAGTGAAATTGCAGCACAAAACATTGATATTATGTAATTATGGTAGATCATCTTAACTTAAATGAAATTGTTACTTTAAACTTGCTCTAAGTGGCTCACAATGTAACTTTTGTATGACACACCTACAAAACAAATGAGTTAATCACAATATATGTCATTTTTAATTTTTCTCTTTCATTTTTCTTTCAGTCATTCTCTCTTTGTAATTAGCATGAAGACTACCCTTCAGTCAAAACTAGCCACCTGGAAAGTTTCAGCTTGTAATATGCAGCTTTTTTTGTGAATTATGAATGTGCAAAAAAGAGACCTTTCTCCTTACACCCACTTCCTTGCATAATTCAAATATGAATGAATGAATTTTATTCAGGCTTGCCAAAAAAAATAAAAAATCATATTTCAGCTGATAACAAGCATGAAAAATTTCAGATGAAAGGGATTTTTTTTTTTTTAAAAGAATATTCTGAGCATGGGAGAACAGCAGGTTAAGACAGAAGTCTCAGTGCAGCCTTAACTATAACAATTGCTATCAAGCAAATACTATATCCAAGCACTAAATCTTGCTTTGTGCTGCCCTGGTGCACAGTAGCAGGGACAGAGTAGAATAATAAAAGCTGGTCCCCTTATGCAAACAGCAGGGCACAGCACTTGACAGAATACAAGAAGAAGGTGAGCCTGCCTACTGTTCTGGCTTTGCTAACCATATTCCCAAGGTCTGTGGGTTAGTTGTCACCTCTAGCTCCAGTCAGATAGCGAAAGGTACTTCAAACACTAGCAAAGGGAATGTTTTGGTCCTTTCCAGAAGAACATTTTACCAATTCCTTTCCTCCAAGCATACTGTTCTATTAAATAAAGTACTTGAAGGAATGCATACAAGCAACATCATGGTTTAACGGGTCAAAAAGGGAATAGAATCAGTGCCAGGCATTTTTCTGATTAACCATGTATTTTAAAAATATATATCTGTGAAAAAGGTATTATCTGCGCAAAGCAGAATGAGATTTGGGCTCATGCCAGTACCACTTTGGAAATAAACCATCACAGTGAAGAAAAGTTACCATCTGGAACATTTCTGCGTCATATTTTCTCTTGTTCCTAATAATGCTTTCCTGATAAGTCCAGCTCTCCTTTTCTACTCAGAAAACAGGATAAAAACTCCCTTTCATTTACTCTGTGTTTGTTAAAAAAAATGCCCATTACAGTGGCTAAATAGTAGTGAATACTAAAGTATTACCTTGCAGATCCACACCGATTAGAGGATCAACATAGAGGATTTGCAAGTGGCAAGCTAGACATAAAAAAAATCCCCTTCTAGTCTGACATAAGTTGACTGTTGCAAGTTGAGCTTGGCAGCAAGTGACCAAAATTGAGTTGTCAGCATCCTCCTATATAGTGGAAGAAGTTGTTGCTTTCTTGTGCAGATGCAAGAGTTTCTGTGGGAAAACAGAACATAATCATGGTTCTGAATGTCTCTGTGGATTGGTAATGTCTCTAATACATAGATCACTTGTGCAAATTCAGTCCCAGCTGGATGGGAAATTATTGAAAATGGTTGTTGTTTGATTGATATAAAATGAGTTGTCAGCTTGATTCAATGCCTTCAGGGCAGATGTCCACAGCATAATTGGCACCTGGCAGAAGTAAAGAATTCCTTGGTACAGAGAAACTGCTACTCATGCAACCACCCAAAACAGTCCTGGAATGCCATGGCAGAAAAAAAAATAATTTTACTTCTGGGCAGGATCTTTTATGCCATAAAGTCAATAAGAGATTTGACGTGACACTTGGTGCAAGCTTTTCCCTGGGATCCTGGCTAGACACTATCAACTTTTCTGCTGTTTGGTCAATACTTTCCCTAATAATTAGAAGAAAACTCATGTATTTGGTTACTTACTATTATTGTCATGGTAAAGGTGTGTCTTTAATAAAGAAACATTTACATGTTTGCTTGTACAAAAAATTCTGTGAATAATTTTGTTTTCATATTTCTTGAGAAATTCTCCTCACAACAATACAACTAGAGAAATAAGAGAGTGTCTTCTCAGCAAAAAATAAGGCAAAGAAACAGAGACTGACAGTACAGCAGTGTCAGTATTATACTGTTTGCTAATAGCAAACAGTGACCTATTGTTTACTAGAGAGTAGATTAAAATGGATTTTTTTCCATAAGTCACTAAAGAGCTGTCATATGGTTATTACTGCCTTTGGCCAAGTGTGGTACAGCTAACAACAGGAATGAATTCTATTTCCCATCACCAATCTGCTGAGCTGGCCACCTTCTTCATGGGGCTGGTGCTTTGGGAGGTACTAGCTGAAGGACTTTCCATTAAAACTCATTTTACTGTCTTCATCTAGCGCATGTCTCAACTTTCCTTCTTTCCTTTCATCTCTGTTTCCTCCTTTAGATTATTTTTCATTATGCCTCCCCCCCCAGCATACCCACACTTCGCCTTTCATCTCTCTACGTATGCTATTCCAGCACTTGTCAGGCCCAGCAGGAGGCACATGGGAGAACCAAACAATATGATATGTTAGGTGGAAGAAAATATTAGAACAATCATTTATTGTCACACTTTAAAGAGGTCTGCTATGTTATTTATTTTATTATTCTGTATTAGGTACATGGTTTAGTTTTACAGGCATTATTAATCACTAAAATACATTACACTTTCAGCCAGGATGTTAACATTTTTAATGCATTCATCTTGCTTCTTTAAACAGAAACAATGGGTCTTCTGCACTGCCCTCCCTCCCCTTTAGTCAATAAATTCTTTCTATTGATTCAGGAAATAACTCTGAAACCCTGTTTTATATTTTAAGTTCCACTAGCCACACTCAGACATATAATTTTGCTCAATAAAAAATGGATCTTCTATTTTTGTTGTTTACTATGTGTTTGGTTATCAAACTCAGCTTGAAAGTATTGGGTAGAAGAGGAGAAAACCTATAATGGCAGTGAGCCACCATGAGAGATTTAGTAAATGAATGTTGCAATAAAATAAAGTATCTGTAAAAAGTGTATATGTGTGTTTGTGTGTGTGTATGTGTGTGTGTGTGTGTATGAAAAGCAGTCTCATCAGTAGATGAAGTGATAAATGAAAAAATCCATCAGTGACTATGGATTCCCTTGAGTCAGCCTGGATCAACAGACAATATGGATTTTTGATAATTCATGGCTTTGCCATTATTTATTCTCTCATGAAATACCCATTGCAAGTCTCAGAAAGATAATTAGAGAATTATCATATTGCTTAACTAAGTAGTGCAAATCATATTAGATTCCGTGTATCCCAATCCTGGGCAGAATCATTAGTGTTGTTTAATTGTTACAAATATACTCATTGAATTTTAATAAATTGCCTTCATTGTCAATATCCACAATCGACTACTTCCCTTAATGTTCGTGGATAGGTTAGTTACCAGGTAATCTTACAGTTAAGATATACCACAATGAAGCAAAAATGTAAGAAAATGCAAAGGTCAAAACCATGTTTCTATTATGAAAAAAATGAATGATAATGACATAATTTTTTCAGCTCATCAGGTTCTTTGCTAAGTGCCTCTGTTATTGCCAGATCAGTAGTGTATAACAAAGAAGTGCTTTCTGTAGGCTGCTTCATTAGCCTGCCCTGTAGGACCTCACCTCAGACCTTTCACTAATCTGTTGGCCAGCTCAATAGCCTTGTTAGTTCTATTCACTTCTTCCTGGCAGCGGATTTTCTCAGCTGTAGCTCTCTCAAAGGCAGTGGTTAAGGCAGCCAGGATTGTGTCTAGTTCCTTCAAATAAAAACAGTAACAAACAACTTTAGACATTGTAAGAACACAGAAAAATATTTCTGCTATCCCATTTTGTATTGCTGAAAGTTAAATTACACAGTGCAAGAAAGGTGTAAACATTAACTCTGCTCAGAATCTTGTTTAGGTTGTGGTCAAAAGATGGACTCAGGAAAACCTGGAGAAAAGTGGGACCAGTCTTCTGATTTCTTCCAGTTGTTCAGAACAGCCTTCAAAATGAAATTACAAACTTGATCTTGTATCAGCAAAAAAGGAATATCCCCTTCTCCATGAGGATCCAGAAATGAAATTAAATATATTTCTCATTACAACTGCATATCTTCTATAGGAGATCCCAAACTTGAAAAAACAGCTGTTTGGAAACTAAAGAAAAAAGAAGGGTGTACAGATGATAGACAAAATACTTCAAAATGCACAAGTCGGTGCCCTTTGCTGACTTTTTTTAGTTAGATTATGCTTCCCAGTGCACACACAGTTTCTGAAAACAGCCTGAAATCCCCAGCCACCTTAGATTTGGGAGCAAGCAGCTCAGTGTCTGGTACATCAAAACATTTGAGCACACAAACAGTCCCACTAGGTCAAAGCCTTGGTTATTCCCAGAGGGAGGAGTGGAAGATAATTCAGCATGGATGACTGAACATGAAGACAAGGCAAGAATGACGTGTAACTCCAGAGAGTCACGGACAGAGCACCCAAATGACTCTGAGTGCAGAGGATGAACTGGCTGGGGAGCTGATAAAGGAAAGGTCAGAAGGGTGCTGCAAGGCCTCAACATAGCAAGGCACTCCAGAACTGGGTGCCCATAAACAGAGCCAGTGGCTCTGAGAAATGATTCTCTCCAGCAGCAAATATGTATTCTCTTCAGCTTGACAAATGTCTCCATGCAGCTCTACTGAGCTCCTTAGTATTCCCCAGGGGAAGTCAGAGCTGAGCTGAGCTCCTGGGAGAGCTGCAGCCGTGCTGCTGACAAGCTCTGTGCACCCTAGAGAAAGGTGAATGGGTGCCTCAAGTTTTCCTGCCTTGAGGACGCTGTGAGGTGGAACCTGGGTGTATAATAGGGCATTAAAAGGAACTGTGTGGTTGGACAGATGGCTATTTTATGAGGAAGGTTTGGATAAATCTGGAGTAAATTACAGCACCAGCATTTCTAAATGAGGCCCAAAGATACCCCTTAAAGAATGGCCCAGCAGTTTTACCTCTGCTGTTGTGTGCCCCCGTGCGAGGGGAGCGCGGGCAGCACCTGTGTTAGAAACGTGTCCTGTTGGCTGGGCTGAGGCACACTGACTGAATCCTGCCTCTCCTTCCTGCACAGGAAAGATCCAGACACAGGCTGAAAACTCACCATGTATGAAGGAAGGCACCTGCTGTGGCTCCAAGGCACATTATGTGGCTGCAGAGGCTGGGGATGTGGTCCCATCATTTACCTGAAACTTAAAAATGTTAGTGCGTGATGAATTATACTGACAAATACCTTTGCCAGTATTACCATGAATCCTGTGGCAAATACCTCTGACAGAGGAAGGTACTACCAGTAATTAAATTTTAGAGGCTTATAAAATGACCAAAAAAGTCCTTTTTGATACATCTAGTTGTCCTGACTCTGAAGTTCATGTCTTTGAGTCAATCAGGATTCTAGCTTTCCCCAAGATTTCTGTCTTCCACTGCAATGCACTCCTCCAAATCTTGTTGCTTGATATGTATATACATTGCCTAAGCAGAACTTAAGGTTGTCAGATGGATAGCAATAGGTTTGTCTTCAGGTGAGACCAAGGACCAGCACTTAGACACTGAAGCTAAGGGAATGCAGAGAGAAAAATTGGAAAAGCTACCTGCTGTTCTGAGCATGGATGCTGCAATGCTCATGCTGGAAAGCAGAACTTGCTTGAAGATTTTTTTAGAGGCCGTTCAGGAATTAGGAAGGAATTTTTACTGCAGTTTTAGTTCTACTGAGCCAGGCTGAAACACATTATGTGCTTTTCTGCCCTCAGACCATTTAGTGTTTGGCAAACCTTCCTCTAAAAGAAAAAAAATTAAAAGGAAGTATTGGTAGCAAAAATTTAAGTGGAAGATAGAGACGTAAAAGAACATATTTGTGTGTGTGTGTATATATATATATATATATATATATGTATATGTCTCTGTGTGTGTGAATATGTATGTATATGTTGAACAATAGAAGAACAAATCCAGTTCATGAAGGTCAAACTCAGAACTTGTGAAAGGTGCCAGAGGCAGTGAAAGTACTGGCAGGAGCCATATGGGGAACTGGAAGCTGCCAGGTACTCCATGCATTTTTTTAGGGTTTTATGTATGAAACACTGTGTGCCAGGAAAAGTATGTAACAGTTTACTGTTGGGTGCCACTTCTTCCCTCTCATCCTTTTCTACTTTATTTGCAATACGAGCACCCCTTCTCAGTACCTTTACTCAGCTGGCAAGTTATCTGTGAGGTGGAACTGATTTGGGCAAGGACAGAGAGGCCAAACTGCAGGTGAATAGTGGAGCTGCACGGAATTACTTCCTATTCAAATGGAAGCCCAGAACAATCAGGCCCTTAATGTGTTACAATTCATTTGACTATCCACATTTTTGACTTTCTGTAAATAATGTGCTAAATGGATAAAAGAATATACCATTTTTCCTTCTTTCCTCTGAGTTACTGATAACAAGACAAGTTCCTTCCCTTACAGTTTGTGCATATAAATGTGATTAATGTAAAAAAAAAAAAAAAAAAGTGCCAAAATCTCTTTATCTTTCTCTCTCTCCTTTTTTTTAAAGCATTGCCCTTTTCAAAACAAGGGGAAATTCAGTATAGTTTCAGTGCCACAGTGATCAAACAGTGTCACATCACTATGGCAATTGCTGCCCAGGCCAGGAATACAGATCAGCTTTAATTGTGCAACGCCTTATTGCTGGTGCATGTCAATCAGAACCTATGAATTGAGAAAAATTTGCTCTGTTCATTCTGTTAAATGATGTATCCAATTAAACCTGTTAGAATTCATGATCTTCAGTCAAGGTTAAATGAAAGTAGTTACTCCTGTCAGCTAGGTGATTAAATGCTGCCTACATCAGGCACATTTATGTGCAAAATTAAAATTTTGGTATAAAGCATGAATCTTTATGCATGCCAGTTAATTATCTTGCGGCTCCTCCATTTATTAAATGCCCACTGCATTTCTTCTTAATCATCAGCTTCCTTTCAAAACTTATTTCATACACTACATTATACCAAATTTCAATGTTTAAAATGAAACGCTTTCCCAGTGAAAACTTCCTCTTTTCAAGGGTTTGGCTGTTGCTATGTTACTAAAGATGGCCATTAACAGTTTTTGAGTCATTATGCGGATGGTCTGTTCGTGTTGTTCTGCTCGATTCTGAGGGAGCGTTGCAGGAATCCCTCGAGTTGCTGCCATGGGGCAGTTCCTCCTCCCCAGAGCGGCCGGAGCTGTGCGGCACATCGGCCAACTCCAGCGCTGGGCAGGGCGGCAGCAGCGCTGCCAGGGCCGTGCTGCCGGGTCCCGGGCCGTGGGGCCCGCTGCTCCCGGGCCG